AAACCGTAAACCTTTTGACAGTGAAAAGAATATTCTGTTTAAAATAATGTTCTTTGAGTGTAGAAAGGAAAGCATAGCCACATATTTATTTATTTAATTTTGAAAGGGTGTTGAAGATCTGGCTTTGATCAGTCATCATGTCTTTAAAAACAAAACAGTGAAGCCAACGTAACTTTTGTGTCTAGTTTATGGAAAGAGCAAAGCCTCTCCCCTCTGTAACTGAGATGCCAAACAGACAGGTGTGGGTGTCAGACCAGGTGACTCTGAAATGCCTCTGTTCCAGTACTTATTGTTAAAGGCATTGGAGAAGGTAGGTTGTCTCTATGTTTACTTATGAATATTATTGTGAAGCTTTTCCTGTGAGAAATCAGGTGTGTGACTTCTGGGAAGTGCTCGTAACACAAGGTCTGGCAGTGGGGAAGAAATGGTGGTGCCTTGTTCCAGAGCTCTCTTGGGTGTTTGCAGACATGCAGAAATTCAGAGTTTAATTGCACAGCGGTCATTTCTTTATCCCACCTATTTTGGAAACCCCTCCCAGGCAGGAGAGGCTCCCAGCCCTCAGTCAGAGCTGAAGGCAATCCTGCCCGTGGGTTCCTCATCTGATTTGGTGGCAGTTACTGAGTGTGAGTCTTCAGTCCTGCCTTCTCAGGCTCCTCTTGGCTTCAGGGAGCCTTGGGCACGTGGGGGACCTGACCCATGTGCATGTTGGTTTCGATGGAATGTTAAGATATTTTTATTAAGATACATCTTCTAATTTTAATCTTCATTGTTAATGGAGCTGAGGAACATCTCAGCACTTCCTCAATGAACAGGGTATTTTGTGTCTGGGTAAGAGCCATATCCCAGCAGCCAGCTGATACCTCAGGAGGTGGTTCTGTCTTGGATTTCCTCTGTTAATCAGAGAGACGGACTCCTTCAGTGAGGCTTTCAAAGTGGCTTATGCTGGCTCTTGTTCCAGATTTTTTTAAGAAAACCTATATTCCTCCATTTTTTTTGTGCAAGGAGCCACGGGGCACTGGTGTCCCTAGGCTGGAGCTACTTTTGGTGACTCTTCCCCCAGCCCACAATCTCACCAAGCACTGTCTCCCCCCAACCCTGGATAGCGAGTACTTCTGACATGTGTACTGATAACAGCTACTCCCTGCCAGCCTTTGCTCGTGGGTACTGAAAATAATCAAATGTTGCTGACATCTGGCTGAACTGAGCCTTGGAATTAAGAACCTTGTCTCTGGAAAACTGCTTACACAAACCTGTGGGAACACGGAGACTTCTCAGATCAAGAGAAGTCTGTGGAATTTAGAACATGTCTTGTCTCTGCCTGGTGTCCTTCTCATGCTCAAATTGTTGTACAGGGAGAGTTTTTTGTGTGTGCAATGGTAGAATAGTAGATACACTACAGTCCCTGAGCGGCTGCTGTGCTGTGAACTCGGCCCAGAGCTCCTGCCCACACCTCCCTTGGGGTGCCAGACCCCACAGGGGCCTGGGGTACTCCTGGGCAGCAGCTCTTGGGATCCCTAAAGCACTTCCTGCTGTGGACCACACTCCTGTGAGGGTCTGACACTAACCCTGCTGGAAAGCAAAAGCAGTGCTAGATTTTGGTGTTTTTAAGGAAAAAAAAAGGTACAAAAAGGATTTTATTTTTCTTAATGCTTTGTGTGGGAAATGTCTCTTTTTAAGCTCTTATTGAGGATGTTTAACCCTCTCAGAAATTCCAAACACAGCTGTTGCTATCACGTCTGTAGGGCCCGAGTTGTTCACTTTATATTCTTTATTAGGCTTGATAGTGTTCTGTGATTTTTTCTGAAGTCATAGCATTCTGATATTGCAGCTATCAGCTGATATCTTATATATATATATATATATATCAGATATGTTGCTGATATCGTGCTGCTGTGAGTGCACTGACCTGCTGCATTCATTCTGTGTCCCTGGTGTCCTGTTGAGCAGAGGGACGTGCTGTGGCAGCACCAGGACACCTTGGGAGCATTGGAAGGGAGCCACAGACTGTCAGTGGCCACCTTGGCCGTGCCACAGAGCTCTGCCAGGGCACAGGACACAGGGAGGGCACAGAAGGCTTAAAATTTGTGTTTTAAAACTTTTTAAAAATGCTGTGATGGAGGCTGCTGCTCCTTTTGTGCCACTTGATGTCTTGGTTCACTTTGTGTTCAGACTTCTTAGAGATGCTTCTTTTTTCCACCAAAAAGTGATTCATAGCAGCCAACAGCTGGGCTTGGACTCAGAAGGGAAAAAAGGAGAGGTTGTTCAGTTTGTGAACAAAACTGTGAGCTGAAGAGAAGGTGAGTCTTTCAAAAAGGTTTAACATTATTAGATGAGAGCAGGCCAGTTCAGAGGATCTTGGTGACTGCAGGGGCTGTTCTGGGTGCCAGGCTTAGATGTTAAAATGTACATTTTCACCATGTCTTTGTAAATTGAGTAACCTGAATGTAGCTGCTTAGTGCAGCTTCTTTGTAAGGAAAAGATTGCACAGCTTTTCTGATGGATTGACTTCTGCAGAGTGGGAGGCAGCTGCTGAATTAATTTGTGTGGGCTCCAAATTAAGGAATCTTGGATAATTGGGTCATTTCATGCTGAGACCTAGGAGAAATCCACAAAACTGGTGATTTTGGTGGAGAATTACAGTGTGCTGTCCCAGCACATTGCTGTTCCTTCATGGGAACACACCGGCATGTTTTTCTCTTACTTTAGTGTTAAATTTTTGGGGTGGCCTCACACTTCTGGTGACCTCCTGCCTCCAGCTCTGGCACCTGGGCAGTGCGGAGCTGCCCTGCCCAGGGAACAGGGTTTGTGGTTTACTGGAGCTTTTCCTCTGCAGCTGCCCCTGGGCACAGTGCAGGCATCCTGCAGCCCGTGGCCAGATGAATCTAGAAGCAAGAATTCCACGATTCTGGGATTCCAGTGGTGCAGAGGCCGGCTCCACCATTCCTGAACGCATGGTGCAAGCATTAGCTATTGTAGCTGTCAGATCATTGTACAGACTTGTCCTGTCCCTAGGCTGCTGAAGGCGTTTGCAGCTCAGGAAGGAAATTTCGTGGGCAAATCACCTTCTCTGATCACCACATGGTCTTGGAGAATCAGTTCAAATGGAGTAATAGGGCTGGAATGTGGATTTTTGGCCTTTCTTCTAAAAAAACCCTTCTTTTACCTTAATTTCAGGATAGAATGGGAAAGACACAATTACTAGACATAATTATCAATGGGCATAAAATCTGTATATATTGAAACTTTACAGAATTATGTGGGCGGGGAGGGGGGAGGGTGGGATGGGGGTGTCCGACGCTGGTACGGAGAAGTCACTTTAACATGGAAACCTCTGCCTCATTGAATTCAGGGTTTAATGTACTTGAAGCTCTGCGGTTCCTTTTACAGCTTTTTTATTTATACATGATTTTTTGTATACTGCATTGAAAATGTCCTTGACTTCCCCCAAGCTCCTTCCTGCTCCCTCTCCGCAGTGGATCCATGGCAGACGGGAGGGTTTGGGAGCAGCTGTCTCGGAGGTGTGTGCTTGCTCGCCAGGTGTTGCGTGGGAGACGGCGACCTTGGGGCAGTGCTGTCCCTTTGCTTCCCATTCCCGTCAGCTTTCCCCACCATTTCTCTTTGTGTAGCAAGAAACATTTGCACTTACAATACACTCCTACACGTTGGATGTATTCCCAGTGTTGTTCTGAGAGGAAAAGGCAAAACAGGAAGAAAAGTTGTTCCCTGTGATACTGTGTTTCCGAATGAGCAGCTCAGGTCTGTGTTCCCCTGCGAGGGGTCTCGCTGCTCCAGAGCGGGAGGTAGGGAGCTGGAACTGTGCTTTGTGTAGGGGATTTCTGTCATTAATGTGAATAAAAAAGGGAAAATTTGTGTGAATTTGCCAAAGCCATTTACCACTCTCTGTGCCCCAGGGCTGTGCCCTCGCTGTGCCACCCCAGCTCTGGGGCCAGCAGCTGCCTGGGGTCCCTCTGGAGATTCCAGCTGTGGGGTCCCGGGGAGCCCCCCACCTTGCAGTTCTCTCGCTTTTGGGTCATAACCAGACTGGACGAACCCCTGCGCTCCCTGTTCCAGATGGATCTGTATCTCATTTTGGTGTCACTTTTCCAACAAGCCAGCTCCCTGGGGTGGTCCTGTCCCGTCGGAGCCGGGGCTGGGGGTTTGCATTCGGGGTGCTGTGAGGACCCCAGCTCGTTTGTCTCCACACGAGTGATGTTGCACAACACAGATCCCCACGGATCCGTCTCCATCCCCACGTGCTCTGTAAGATGGACCTTTGTAGAGTCGTTATTTCTGTAGACTTTGTTTATCTGTAACAAACTTTGTAGATTCTGTGAAATGTTATTTTAATGAAATCACTCGAGTCTTTAATAGCAAAGCGTCGATATTCACCGAAGTCGGTATGGAAGAGGTTTTGGACGCAGATGCAGCCCTGGCACTACCGAGGAGTGTCCAATTCCACGGGGCATTACTGTATCATGACTTGATGTTGCCGCATAGACTTTGAGATATCAAATATTTTGGGGGGTTTGTGTTGGCCTCTGTCCTCTTGCATAGTGTGAAGCCTGTAAAGCTGGTTCCCTGTACATAGATAGCTCCTGTCCTCTAGGTAGAGCGTATCGAGACTTGCCTGTAATATTTTAGCTTCTTACTGACTGTGTGTGATGGTAGAACATATAATTTTTGTACATTCTATTAACTGAGATGTTGCCTTTTTTTTTTTTTTTTTTTTTTTTTTTAAAAATTTTTTTTTTTTTTTTTTTTTTTTTTTTTTTTTTTTTTTTTTTGTTTTTTTTTTTTTTTTTTTTTCCCTTTTGCTTTTCCGTGAGGATTCCTTTGGAAAGGTTTTTAAATGACATTCCACTGATCTGAAATTTTTGCTTGAGGTTGACTTCAATAAATCGTTCTGAATGTTGCACTGGTGAGATGAGTCAGTTCCGTGTCGGGGTGGGCGGGGGGATAGCGGGGCTGCGGCCGCGGTCCCTCCCCCGGGGCGGCGCGGCGCCCGGGCAGTGGCCATGCGGCGAGCGGAGCTGGCGGCCGAGGCCGCGCTGCGGGCGCTGCTCCTCGCCACCTTCGGGTGGGTGCCGACCCCCGCCACCTCGAGTGGGTGCCGACCCCCGCCCGCCCGCCCAGCGCTCATGTCTCGTCTCCTTCCAGGATCATGGAGTTCCTGCCGCCCTTCCAGCGCGTGCTGCAGCCCGAGGAGATGTGGCTCTACAAAAGCCCCTACGTTGAAGTGGACCACGTCCCCACAGTCTTCATGTTTGTAAGTTCAGTGGGTTCCTGAAGTGCTTTGTGTCGGAAGGGACCGTAAAAGATCTTTTTGTCCCTCCCACTAGGGGATGTCTCCCTTCCACCAGACCAAACCCCAGAGTTACGGGGATGGAGCATCCACACCTTCTCTGGGCAGCCTGTGCCAGTGTTTCCTGCATTTACTTTGCTTTATTCTCGAATTACCAGTTCTTCTTTTAAAACAAAGCTGCTGGCTACAGACTGTTACTGCAATACCTGCAGCTCCTAGTGCACATTGCAGAAAGTGCAGGATACCGTATCCATGTGGATAAATAGCTGCAGGGAGGGGCTGTGAGGACGGAGCCGGACTCTGCTCAATGGGGCGAGAGGCTCCAGCTGGACCATGGACATTTCCACCTGAACAGGAGGAAGAGCTTTCCCGTGTGGGCGACTGAGCAGTGACACAGGCTGTCCAGACCGTGGGAGTCTCCTCACCTGGAGATACTCATAATCCATCTGGTCACAGTCCTGGGTGATGTGCTCTGAGGACCCTGAGCAGGGGTTCAATCTGGTGGTCCCCAGTGATCCCTTTCTACCCATCCTGTGAAATTAGTACCAGCTAGGCCAAACATACAGTGATCTTTGTCATATTTTGAGGCTTTACCATCCTGGGTTGCCTTTGGGATTTGAAGCTCATAAACAGATTAGGACTTTGCACTGTTGTCCAAAATCCATTCCACGTCTAACTTACTGGGCACATGAAGGATAGCACAGCTCTCGCTATCAGGGAGTGTTTTCCTTTCAAGCAGCTATTTTTAGCAGGGATTTGTTATCATTTTATTGTCAAATGTTTTCCCAGCAGCTCTTGCCTTGGTTAGAAGAGTTTGACTAACTCTGTGTTGGAGTTTCAGGAGAGAGCACTGTGTCAGAGGGATTGGCTCCCTCTCTCACAGGGGTGAGGTGAAGGGCTGTGGCTCTTGAGTTGGCAAGTGGCAGGTGGGATTTCCTGAAGAGATGGCCACTAAACATTAAGGACAAAACCTCGGGATGGCATTTGGAGCAGGCAGTGTAAAGCAGGACGTGCCAGAGCTCAGGTGGGAGCAGACTCCATGGGAGCCTGGCAGTGGTGAGGATGTCTGGAGTGCAGTCCCCCAGGGCTGAGATGGGGATGGTGATAACTGCTCTGAATCAGCAGCTGCTGTGGTTTTGCTGACAGAGCTGCTGACGGAGCGCTAATGCTGGGCCTGCAGGGAGGGGAGAGCTGAGGTGCTGTGCCTGGGGACACCCCCAGCGAGCAGCCAGAGCAGCAGCACTCTGCTAGAAGAGCTGTCTGAGAACCAAAGGAGATGCTGGGCTGATCAGGGCTTGCTGCAAATCCAGCTGGTGGGGGATTGTGTTCTGATGGAACTGCAGCGACTGCAGAGGACAGACTGCTGTACAGGTTCCCTTCTGGGGAAAGGAAGTGCACTCAGGGTCTTCTTGAGTAACTGCTCTTGTGTTCTGGTGAAAACTTAAACCTGCTTTACTGGCACCTAAAATTCTCCCTGTGTTGTGCAGTTCATCGCATTTCTGTCTCCCTTGTTGCTCATCATCCTGGCGAGGCTGTGCATGGGTGCTGACCATGAGGACACGAGGGAAGCCTGCCTTGGTGAGCTCCTCCTTGTTGCAGGGAAAGGCAGCTTGAGCCCTGCTCATGCCTGAACGTGCTGCACTCTCAGGTGGGGATGATGCTGATGTGACCCTTTTGCTCTCTCTCAGCTGCCAGCCTTGCTCTTGCCCTGAACGGGGTTTTCACAAACGCCCTGAAGCTCGCGGTGGGGAGGTGAGGACTGGCTGGTTCCCAGCTGCGCCGCGGGGCAGGCGGGTCTGCAATGCCACATCAGGGCCAGGAGCTCAGCTTGGACATGCTCAGCCTGGAAAGAATGTGGTTTTTTCTAGCTGCAAAGATAATTCAGAAGTAGAACAAACACTGGGGAGCTGCTGTCTCAGGCCATCACTCAGATGGGCTCCCTTAGGCCCAGGCCCAGGCCCAGGGGGAGGATCGCGTTGGCACGAGCAGCTCCCTGTGCTCCGTGCTGCCCCGCGGGTGCTGGCAGTGCCAGGAGGGCTCTGAGCTCCACTTCCCCGTCCCAGGCCACGACCCGACTTCTTCCATCGCTGCTTCCCGGACGGCCGAGCCAACGCCGAGCTGGTGTGCACAGGGGACGCCCGCAGGGTGACCGAGGGCCGCAAGAGCTTCCCCAGCGGCCACTCTTCCTGTGAGTCTGCCCAGCTGCTTCCTGCTGCAGCCCTGGCCAGCGAGCTCTGGGGGGAAGGCAGCTTGGATTTGCTTTCCTGCACCCCGTAGCTTTGGCTGCATTCTGAGAGGGACTTGGGTTTCCCTCGGCAAAGCAACAGGGTGAGAAATGTAGTCCAAAGCTATCTGCAGCCCCAGAAGGAGGGATGTGTGCCAGGTAGCAGCTTCTAGGATCCCAGCTGGCACTTCCCTTGGCTCACAAGCACAGGCAGACACCTGTCGCAGCCCTTCCACTGCAGCAGCAGAGGGTAAGGGTCTGGCAGCGAAGCCTGGAGCTATTCTGAACTGATATTGTTCTGTTCTCTTCCAGTTGCCTTCGCTGGTCTTGCCTTCTCTGCCTTCTACTTGGCAGGGAAGCTGCACAGCTTCGTTCCAGGCCGGGGGGGCCGGGCCCTGCGCTTCTGTGCCTTCCTCCTCCCCCTCTTCCTGGCCACCCTCATCGCCGTGTCCCGCACCTGCGACTACAAGCACCACTGGGAAGGTGGGTGAGCATCTGCTGGTGCACCTGGATGGGGTTCAGCAGGTGCCCTGAGCAGGGCACTCCAGGCTGTGGTGCCACAGAAGTGTTCAGAGCCCCAAACAGCAACTTGGGTTTTTTTCTTTACTACTCCAGTGGCAATTTTGCTGCCACCTGCAGGGAACTGATGCCTTTCTCTGTGGTTTTGAAATCCATACCAAGGTCGAGTTTACAGCCAAGTCAGGTTATGGATCTAGCAGAAAAGCTGAGGAATTGATGGCGAGGCTTGGGAGGGTGAAGGGCCATTAACTTTTCTCTGGTCTCGCCCACAGATGTGTTGGTTGGCTCAGTGATGGGTTTGGTGCTCGCATACCTGTGCTACAGGCAGTACTACCCTCCCCTGACAGACACCACGTGCCACAAACCAGCTCTGGCCAAGCCCAAACCGCTGCCAGCGCACGAGGAGAAGCCTCCAGCTCCCAGCTTCCACATGAACATCTAGTGCCAGGCTCTTCCTGCCTGCTCTGGGTGCCAGGGCAGGGCGAGGCTTGGGGGAGGCTGCCCAGGAGTGAGGGGAAGCCCCTGGGCAGGTGTTCCGTGCCAAGCTGGTGTGTTTCCTGCCCTGGCCCTTGTGTTGCTTCATCTCGTTGAATTTTGTAGGCCACCCCCTCTTCAGGCCCTCTGTGAAGCTAAGGAGGCACTCGGGTGCCAGCCTGCACAAAGACAATTGGGATGTGAAGGTCCTGAACACAAACTGGGAAAATGGGACAACCCAGTGTGCTCAGGCTGGCGGGAGTTCCTGTGTCCAGTCCAGGAAGCACCATTGGCCACCTCGCTGCAGTCAGCCGAGCTGTCCCAGCCCTTCTCCTGGGAAGTGAACTGCAGGACCTGCCAACTTTGAGCTTTTCTAATTTCCCAAATAAAGGAGTTTAATTTTTGTAATGAGCTGTGGTACTAAAACTTTATTTCGAGGTTTGGGTTGTTGCTTTATAAGCCATTTCCTCTAGTGTCTGTATGGCTTTCTGGTGCGTGCTTTTCCTTGCAGCTCTAGTAGTTTCAAGGAGAGATGACAGAAGAAATGAAATGTTGTCTGGGAGCATCCTACACAGATGCTCATTTCCCTGCCCATGGTCTGTCTCAGACAAGGAAGGGCACAGTGCTGCTGAGATCCAGGGCCTGCTGCCTGGCAGGAGCTCTAAGAGCAGTTGTTTGTCACTGGTCCCTTCAAAGACAGGTTTCAAGTGTGTGTCCATGCAAACAGCACAGGTGAGGCTGCAGCAGAGCAAGGCAGGTGAGTCAGTAATGAAACACCACCCCATCAGCTGCAGCTCAGACCCTCTATAACTCTGCAGCTTCAATAGTTACAGGAATAGCTTCACTTTCTCCTAGAACTGCACATGTGAATTTTCTAGCGCTTCCCTCTCCCCTCAAACATGCACACACCGCAGTCATCTATATGTTTATTTTGGCTTTTACTGGAAAAGACATTAAATAACATTTAAAATGTATTTAATTTTTTTAACAAAGTGCATAACTTAAAAAGCTGATCATTAGTGTCCCATGTTAAGACTGTCCCTTTTCCTACTCCCATGAGACCTCGGCCAGCAGTCAGGTGCTGACCAAGCAGCTTGGCTGTTCCTGCAGTCAGGTAAAGAACAGTTTCTGTTCCTTGGGAGGGGAGGAGGGATGGAGGCTGCAAACAAAACCCTTCCAATAGTGCAAATAACAGACAATGGAGGAAAAACAAACCAACAGGCTGTGGGGAAAAAAGGCTCCTTACCCCATGCAGAGGGCAAAAGTCAGCAGGAGGGAAAGTGGTTTGGTTCTTCCAAAGGCTGCAAAGCAACACCTCACACAGCACTGGAGCCCCAGCCCAGGGGTTCTGGTGCCCAGGGAAGGATCACAGAGGCTCTCCAGCCCTGTCCCTCAGAACAAACCTTCTAGGCAGGTGCAGCTGAGCTGCCTACAGAGCTGGTGTCATTCCTGCAGTGCCCAGACCCCGCTGGATCTGGGCTCACCTCCACGGGCTGCATTTTGTACATGTAAAGCTAAACCAGGAGGGGAGCGTGGCAGGCATAGATCTCTGTGGTCACCTGGCAGCCCCTGGGACAGCAGCACTGCTCCGAGTCCCTGCAGGGCCAAGGGCTCTCCCTGCCTGCCAGCAGCCACCACTGTTCCCCGGGAGCTGCAGGGGAAGCGCCCCTCGCTCCTCGGAGGGGCGCAGCGGGGCTGGCTCAGGGCGGGGGAGGCCCTTGGTTTGCAGCCTGAGCTGCCTGGGGCTGCTGAGCTGCCCCCAGCAGCACAGCACAGCGGGGAGGACACGAGCCTGCTGCCCTCAGGGGGAGCTGCACGGGGCAGCCCTGCCCGGAACAGCCCCGCGGTGCACAAGCATGCAGCAGCAGTGCAGGGGTGAGGGTGCTGCTGCACTGTACAGCCCCTGCTGGCTCGGCAGCAGTGCAGGGGTGAGGGTGCTGCTGTGCAGCCCCTGCTGGCTCAGCAGCAGTGCAGGGGTGAGGGTGCTGCTGTGCAGCCCCTGCTGNGCAGCAGTGCAGGGGTGAGGGTGCTGCTGTGCAGCCCCTGCTGGCTCAGCAGCAGTGCAGGGGTGAGGGTGCTGCTGTGCAGCCCCTGCTGCCTCAGCAGCAGTGCAGGGGTGAGGGTGCTGCTGTGCAGCCCCTGCTGCCTCAGCAGCAGCCTCTGTGTGCCCTGGGCTTCACCTCCCGGCCCGCAGTGCTGGTGTGGAGGCTTGTGTTAGCAGTCAGCAATCTCCCTTGCCTCCAGGCTGCTGCAGCTCTTCCCACGCTGTGGGTTTAAGGCTTTTTCTCCTCAAAGTCCCCGGCTGTGAGCATCCTCACCAAGCCAGGCACGGGCTCAGGGCCTGGCTGGGCTCCGAGCCCGGACAGCTCGTCTGCTGCAATGCTGGAGGAGCTGGTGTGGGGACTCACGGCGTGCAGGGTTAAAAGTACACGTTGCCACAGGGAGTCACTGTACAGGGTTGTGTGTGTTTCAGCAGAAGTGGTTTTCCTTGACAGTTTTTCCCCATACCCCTACCCAAAATGGAGGAAAATCCATCCTTATCTCCAGGCAGCAGCAAGTACTTAGGAAGCAGCATGCAGGACACGGCAGCAGAGGAGAGAGGAAGGCAGAGAAGAGATCTGGACTTTCCTGGTGAGTACTCTGTGGGATTGGACCTGAGAAAGCAAAAGGAGAACACAGGAATAGCTGCAGCCAGAATCCAGCCCCCCGGACCCTCCTTGGTTCTCTCCTCATGTCTGATCGTGTTCGTGTGCAGGGAAGGGGAAAGAAGCCAAAGGTACTGATAGGCCAAAGAAGAAAGCTGACACAAATTCCCTGCCTTAGATAAAGGATATCACTCCCTCAAACCAACCAGATCTCCTCTGAGGTGTCCTAGGAAGTGCAGAAGGGGCTTAGGCAGAGGTGACTTACAGCCAGCACAGCACAGGTGGGTCACTGGCTTCCTGGCAAAGGCTGATCCAGTGTGATGCCTTGTGTCTGGTAGATCTCCTTCAGAACCAGCAGAACAGTGTCCTCTGACTCCCTGCAGGGAGCAAAGGGAATCAGAAGGGAATGTTTCCCTGCACTCTATCAGGCCATCTGTGATGGCTGGGGTAGATGCAGTGCTCTGCCATGCAGGCAGCACAAGGAGAAGCACAAGACTCCTTCCTCTGTCCGTGCCCACCCTGTGTGTGTCACAGATGGGAGAAGACCTTGTTGCCTTGATCAGCTGAGGCTTTTCTTACCTTTGAAACTGAGGCCATTCTGCTTCCAGCACACATAAATTTGAAGCCCTGAGCATTACACAGACACTTACCAGTAGCAGAGATGGCCCTGGAGTGCAAACAAATACTCGTTGAAGCTCTCGATTGGCTTCTCCTGCAGCACGTAGTCGATGCGGTTCCCTCCGTTCAGCCTCCCCACGTTGATGGGGGGCGTCTCTTCCTTCACTGCTGCCGGGGGCTCCTCTGGCTTTGTGTCTGCAGGAAGGCAGAGCAGCGTGGCTCACCCACAGGGCAGCAGCAGCCATGGCAGTGCAACAGCAGGGCCGAGCCCTCCCTTCACCCCGCTGCAGCTCACACAGGGGAGAGGCAGCTGAAGTGCAAGGGACACCCAAAGGAAGCGGATGGGCTTGAAACGTGGTGTGGTGTGGTGTGCTGAGAGCCCCCCAGAAAATCCCTTCATCAGGTGCTAACAGGGAAGGCCACAGCATCTGGGGACAGCCAGGTGCCTCCGCAGCCCAAAGGCGATCCCTTTCCTGGGCACAGGTGATGGGCAGGGCGGCTGTGGGAGTCCAGGCACGCTGCTTCACCAGCAGCTCCCAGCGCTGCATCCCTGGCTGCCCCCCGCCCCCATCACCGACCTGGCTGCTTCTCAGTGCCAGCCTCTGCCTCGGCCTCGGCCTCGGAGCTCCCTGCCTCCAGGGCTGGCACGGGGGCGCGGGTGAAGGACTGCCAGGCCACCCGCAGGGAGCCCAGCAGGTTGTTCTTCAGGTCCACGCTCATGCGAGTCAGCCCTTCCTTCAGCTCTGCAAGGCAGGAACGGGGTGGCTGTGGGGCTGGGGGCTGCAGCAGCAGCACTGGGCCGGGGGACAGGGGCTGCCTGCGCCATACCCAGGTGCATCCTCTTCCTGCCCTTGTGGTGGGGCAGCAGCATGGGCTCGAACTCCAGCTCCGGGACGATCATGGGCTCGATCCGATACGCCACCGGGTCAAACTGCACACGAGAGGGGGACAGTGGCCAGGGCTCCTGCTCCACGTGTCTCACGCAGGACAGCTCTGGTTCTTACACCTACGGGGTGGAAGATGTTGAAGAAGCCTTTGCAGGTGGGCAGGCTGTAGTTTGGGTCGATCCGCTTCACTCCTCGCACGGTGAGGAACATCCCGATGGGAGAGCCAAAGGCAAAGAAGATGGTCGGCTTGTAGTTCAGCTGGGGGTAGTTTGCTGAGACCTGGGAGAGGGGGATGTTCAGATTTGCTCATGGAACAATCCCTGTGCTGGTGTCAGGAGGGTTTTGGGGCGCAGCCAGAGCTCAGCTGTTACCTGTCCCAAGCCAACGTCCCGGTACTGGCAGCTCCTGCCACCCTCGGAGCTGTCCCCCGGCTCAGCTCCACGTTCATTGTGCCCAGGAGCTGCTGAGCTCCGGTCCTGCAGCAGCAGCACAAAGGGGTCCTTGTGTCAGAGGGATGGGATGGGATGGGATGGGATGGGATGGGATGGGATGGGATGGGATGGGATGGGATGGGATGGGATGGGATGGGACGGGACGGGATGGGATGGGACGGG